ACAGTCTGCCCTCCCACCTCTGGAGCAGCTTTACTTGGAACTCTGGCAGGCTCCTCTGATCTGGTGGCTAGCTGTTGCTGGCTATCTGCTACCCTAATGACTCCATCCCCAAGCCAAGAGTTTTTGCTGTATTTTTGTAACTACTTATCTACACAATCAGCAATTCCCTACAGGTTTCCTTTCAAAATATAGATCTAAGAAAAGGGATCTAAGTCAGTGACCACACAGCTCAGATTGTGATCGCTCACACCCTTACTCCATTGTCTCCTCACACTTGTGTGAAAGACCAGATGTGGCTGACTTCCTGAAAGTCAGTAAGTGGACACTGAAGAACCCAGAAATGTACAGGGGAATCTCTTCCTTCGAGAGAAAGAAGCAGACAGACAGGAGTGGGAAGATCACAGGCACTAGCAACATGCACTGCGTATCCCATGAATATGGCCTCCCGATTTTGCTTCTTTACACTGTTTAACTTTGTAATGTGAAGAGATTGTACCAAGTTTAAATGACTGGGCTCTCCTTTTCACATCACAGAATCCATAACAACTGGTAACAAAATCCTCTGCTTGCCTCTCCCATCAGGAGATCTGGCCAGCAGGAAAGGGAAAGGGAAAGAACTTCCTGCTGGGGAGCTAAGAAGCTGGGTGAGAGGTGGTGAGATCTAGAATAAAATCTGAGATAGTCCATGGTGTCCTGGAGGCTGCAACATGCAGTTTAATCAGAGTGATATTTTTTTTGTTCAAATTATTGTAATTATTAGAATGTGTAACATTGAAATGTGCAAGTAAAAAGTTTTAAAAGCTTGGGATGGTGAGATCACTCAGTGAGTACAGGTGCTTGTTAAGTAAGCTTGGAGACATAAGTATCATTCCCAAACCTCACAGAAAGGTAGAAGGAGAGAACCAAGTTCATAAAGTTGGCTTCCATGTGAAATCAGAGCACATGTACCCACACCTGCTCATATCACCAATAATAATATAATAGCAATAATAATAATAATAATAATAATAATAATAATAATAATAATAATATTTTTAAAGAAAAAAAGGGAAAAGGAGCCAGACAGACAGGCTTCTTTCAGGGCTTGGAAGACTTAATGTTGAGATGATCACATGCTCCTTGGATGAAGCTGCGAAGTCAATGCAATTCTTACCAAAGCACAAAGTTCATTCCTTTTGTGCAGAATAGACAAATCTATACCAAAATTCACACAGTAGTTCAAGGGAGAGGAGGAAAGTTGTGGGAAGGGCTGCAGGAGGGAGAGAGAGGACGTGAGAAGGAACAAAGTTGACAATCTCACTTCCTGATTGCAAACCTACCCCAAAGCTACAGTAATTAGCACTGTGTGCCAGGGACATGGAACAGACATAGAGGTGAGCAAAAAAGACGAAAAGTCCAGCAATATGTCCCCACATCTATCATCCAGGATGCCGTGACCATTCTACAGAGAAAGGATGATTTAGTTTTTTAAAATAGATTTTATTGGAACATGTGCAAAAAAAACCTTATTTATCCACCAAAAATTCATTCAAAACAGGATAGAGACCCAGATATGAGCAGAACATAGTTTGTTCTCACAAGAAAACATTAGCAAGTGATAAAGTGTGGTTTATTATACAATGGAATAGTTTCCCATTACAAAGGGATAAGGTATTGATTTGATGCACAGCAGATGAATCTTGACATTATGTTTATTGTAAGAGGATAGCCACAAAAGGTCAAAAGCCACTTGATGTCATTTATGTGACATGTTCAGCACAAGTAGTTGACCAAGACAGAAAGCAGATTGGTAACTGCTAGGGATTCTGGGGAAATGAAGGGGAAATGGGAAATTCTCTAACTGGGTATGGTTCCTTTCAGTGGTAATTAAAATGTGGCAAAATTAAATAGGGGTGCTGGTTACCCAACTCTACGTAATTATAAAACAACCCACTGAATTAATATTAATATTCTACTTTTTAGAATCTGTATTAAATTTATACAGCTTTCTTTGTGTGTTAACTTTAATAATTTTAATAAAGCTATTGAACATTTAAAAATATCAAATTTAAGGAACACATAGAAAATAAAACCCTCAACAGAACACTTCTCTCTTCCAGCCCCAGCACCCCAGTGCAAGTTATCACACTGCCCTCCTTAGTCTTATTGCCAGTTAACTCATCCTTCTGATAGCAGGCAATTCTCTAACCAAAGCAACATCCTCTTCTAAAACTGCAAAAACGTTCCCCAGGCTCAGAGAGAATCCCTCTGCCAGCTTACTGTACTCTCTGAACAGCTCTGCTTCCCCAGGACTTACATGTACAGCTTTCCCTGGAGAAGTGGGTCCTCAGCTACTAAAGCCTAAAGGTCCTTTTAGGAGAGAAGAACTGACAGGAGCATGCCTTCCCATCTGTGTTCAAACATGAGTATTCTGTGGATGCAGAAACCCTGAGATCAGAAGTAAGACAGGAGGTGGGACCAGGCTGAGTTGGAACAGGACCCATCACACCTCCCATTCCCACTAGACCCTAGAGCACTACCCTCTTTGTCTAGAACTCTCAGAAAACATTGAGTTTCCTCCCTGCCCCCTGGAAGATTGGCTATCATCAAGGAAACAGCAAAACACAGCAGATGCTAGAAAACATTCAGGGAAAATGAACTTTTGCACACTGCTAATGGGAATGAAAATTAGTACAGCCACATGGAAATTAGCATGGATATTCCTCAAAAAACTAAAGCGGATACCATCCTATGGTCCAGCCATTCCACCCCATTGGGAACCCAGTGGGGTCTAAGTCATCCACCAAAATACTTGTGTATCCACACTTATTGCTGTACCATTCATAGCAGCCAAGTTATGGCATTGGTCCAGGTGCCCACTGATGGATGGATAAAAAAATATGTTGCACATTTATACAATAGAACATTATTCAGCCATAAAGAATAATTCAGCCATTTGTTGAAAACAAATATGTGAAAGTAGGAGAACTACTGATGAGGAAGGGGCCATAACAAGGTGGGACATATAGGGTAATGGGAGTAAACATAATCAAAGTACATGTAGGAAAAGTCACAATGGAATCCCTTGTTTTAGACAATTAGTAGTTAATAAAGTTTTTACAACATGATTGTATTTTCAGCATATAAATCGTAATCAGCTTCTTTGAGGTATAACTTAAAATAAATAATAAATCATCTCCATTTAATGTGTTCAAAGAAATAAAAAGCAGAGCAGGCACAGTGGCCGTTGCGTACTCAGTGGGTAGAAGCCGGAGAACCAGGAGTTCAAAGCCAGGCTCTGCTACATTGGTAGAGTCAGCCTGAACAACAGGAGACCCTGTTCCAAAAAATAATTTAAAAATAATAATTAGAAAACTCATTAAGAGGCAAGTTACATTTCCCTGATGGCTAAGGATATTGAGCAATTCCTTAAGTGCCTTTTAGCCATTTGATATCTCTCTGTTGAGAATTCCCTATTTAGAGTTGCACCTCATTTTTTAATTGGATTAATTGGTGTTTTGGCGTCTTTCTTGAGTTCTTTGTATATTTTGGAGATCTGCCGTCTGTCAGATGTCGGGTTGGTGAATGTCTTTTCCCATTCTGTGGACTGCCATTTTGTCTTGTTGACTGTATCCTTTGCCTTACAGAAGCTTCTCAGTTTCAGGAGGTCCCATTTATTGATTGTTGCTCTCAGTGTCTGTGCTATTGGTGTTATGTTCAGGAAGTGGCCTCCCCTATACCAATTCATTCAAGGGTACCTCCTACTTTCTCTTCTAAGAGGTTCAGTGAGGCTGGATTTATGTTGAGGTCTTTGATCCATTTGGCCTTAAGTTTTGTGCATGGCAGTAGACATGTAGTCTTCTATACACTAGCATCCAGTTGTGCCAGAATCATTTGTTGAAGATGCTTTCCTCCTTCCATTGTATAATTTTTGCTTCTTTGTCAAAAATCATGTGTTTACAGGTGTGTGGATTAATATCAGGGTCTTCAATTCTATTCCATTGGTCCACTTGTCTGTTTTTGTGCTAATACCAAGCTGTTTTCATTACTATAGCTCTATAGTAGATTTGAAGTCAGGGGTGGTGATGCCTCCGGAAGTTCTTTTATTGTACAGGATTATTTTGGCTATCTTGGGTGTTTTGTTTTTCCATATGAATTAGTATTGTTCTTTCAGGGTCTGTGAAGAATTGTGTTGGGATTGCTTTTGGGCAGAGAGTCACAGCTAAGCACTGAGCTGAACTCCTGGAATCCAGTTGTAGAGAGGGAGGTGAGATGAGCAAAGGGGTCAAGACTAGGCTGGAGAAACCCACAGAAACAGCTGACTTGAGCATGTGGGAGCTCACAGACTCCAGACTGACAGCTGGGGAACCTGCACAAGACAAAACTAGACCCCTGAATGTGGGTGTCAGTTGGGGAGCCTCCTGGGAATAGAACTGATATTGATCCCTAGTGCATGAACTGGCTTTTTGGAGCCTATGGAAGAATGCCTTGTTCACCCTAGATATGGGGTTGGGGGGGTGGCCTTGGTTCTCCCCATGGGAATCCTCACCCTCTCTGAGGAGTAGGGAGAGAAGGGTGGGGAGAAGGTGGGAAGAATGGAAGGAGGGAGGGAGAGGGAAATGGGATATAAAAAACAAACAAACAAAACGAAACAAAAGAGGCAAGTTACACAATAGCACATGGGTCACAGCACTCAAGAGCAGGAAAACGTCTTCCTGCTCAACCAACTAGGAAGATTGAGATGGCAGCTCTGATCTCTCAAGCTGATCTCCTGTTCTCCAGGGTCCCCTTTCCAAGTGCTAGTCCAGCTAGAGAAGATGGTGCACCTGATTTAATTTGTAAACAAGGCTGGTGTTCAAGATTTTGATATTCAACTTTAGAAGTGAGATGGGAGGCATGAAAAAGTACAGATGATGTGGGTGACTGATGAGGTTCAGCCTCTTCTCCAGAAAAGGCTGCACGAGAAGAAAAAAGAGCATCTCATTTGAATTCAGAAAGAGTGCCTTCCTCCTCCTCACTGTGCATGGCCTCTTCTGCAGAAAAGGCACCTACTGCTTCTCCTCTTGCCTTTGCTGGCACCTCTGTCTCCCACAAGATTTGTATCTGGGTCATTACCATGCTCTTGGGAGTAGTTAAACCAGCAGAGACTGAGAAAGTTCACCAAGCCCTGAGACTCTCGATTGTCCATTTCAGATCGGCACAGACCATGCTCCTCCTGCCGCTGATGTTGAGCCTGGGCTTGCACCTTCATCTTATAGCAGGTAAGGAAGGACAGTGGGAGGGATCTGGGAGCGGCAAGCAGGTGATGGCCCCTAGCCAAAGCCGGAAATGAATGTGTTCCTCCATCTGTACGCTTTCTTTGAGAGGGAGTGTGGTTCAATTAGCAGAGAAGATGGTTCCCAGGGTGGCTGGCCCCATCTTTAATATTACTCCATCTGCCCCCATCATCTAATGCTTGCAATGAGGCTGGACTAGTCAGAACACACTCGTCTGAAAGGATGTCACAGAGAGGTGCTTCAGTTCCGTTTAAGGGAGGGTGCTAAGCAGCTGCTTCCCCTCTATCAGGGACAGGGACCAGGGCAAACATAAAGCTCTTCATAATGTATGTGAATTCTTTTAGCAAGCAATGGCAGCAGCCACTTGTCATTTAATGTCTTGATGTGGACTGGATTGAAAACTCGAAGTCTCCGTAAAGCCCTGATGGAAACCGAATCTGAAACCTCTGCCTTTGAACTTGAAGATAGGACATCTAGTGGAGGATGTGGTTGAGCAGGGAGAAAGCAGTTTCAGAATTGTTTCCCTGGGGAAGGCATTTCAGATCACTGGAGTGTGCCATCAGGGCGACAGTACACTTTCAAGAGAATACTGGGAGCTAAGAAAGGAGACCCGGCAGGGGGCTAATGGACCGGATGTTCCACAATGGAACCCTTGAGAGGAATCATGGCCAAAGTGGTCCTTTGGCACTGGATAACCTTTGGAGGAGTGGTCTCCTCATCTCATCCTGTCCAGGTTCGGTACCACACTTCTCTTCCAGCCATAATCTTCCTTCCCTGTGGGCCTCTGAATCTGATCTGTCACTAGGACACATACTGATACACTCTTCCTTTAAAAGACCCTAGTGTTTTTCCTCCTTATTGCCCCCCCACCCCAGTGCTAGCTAAAGGAGCTTGTAATGAGTGTGCCCTAATTGGACTAGAGCTTTTGTTCCCATAAAGGGACCAGTAGGCAAAAGCAGGGTCTGAAGCTGGAGTTCCCCTGCCCTAACAGCATTCTGCATTCAGAAGAAACTTCGGGAGTGTGCAGCCTCTATAGATTAGTAACTATAAAACCACCAGTGCTGGTGAATTGCTGGTTTTCTTCTGTGTTTTCTCCAGGAAAGAAAGGGGCTAGGGAAACAGGAATGAAGGGTGGCAAGGTTTTGTTGTTATTTGGTTTTTTTGTTTGTTTGTTTGTTTTTGCTGTTTGTTTTTTTTCCATTTCTTTTTCCCCCGTTTTAAAAAAAATTATTTATTTTACATCCCAAACGAAGTTTCCCCTCCCTCCTCTCCTCCCATTCCCTCCCTGAACATCCCTTCTGCCCACCCTCACTCCCCCTCAATCCACTCCTCTGTTTCTCATAAAAGGGCAGGCTTCTCATGGGTATCAACAAAGCATGGCATATCAAGTTGCAGAAAGACTAAGCTCCTTCCTTTGTATTTAGGCTGGGAAAGGTGATCCAGTATGAGGAATAGGATCTCAAGAGCCAGTCAAAGGGTTGGAGGCAGCTCTTACTCCAATTGTTAGGAGTCCCACAAGTAGGCCAGGCTACACAACTGTCACATAAATGTAGAGGGCCTAGGCCAGTCCCATGCAGGCTCCCTGGTTGTTGGTTCAGATGCTGGGAGTTCCTATGAGCCAGGTTAGTTGTTTCTGTGGGTTTTCTTGTGATGTCCTTGATCCCTCAGGCTCCTATAATCCTTCCTTCCTCTCTTCAGCAGAATTCCCTGAGTTTGGCTTAATGTGTGGCTGTGCGTTTCTGCATCTGTTTCCATCAGTTACTGGATGACTCTCTGATGACAGTCGGGGTAGTGACCAGGGGTCACAGGAGATGGCCAGTTCAGTCTACATATCCACTATTGCTAGGAGTCTTAGCTGAAGTCATTCTTGTAGATTCATGGAGTTTCCCTTGTATCAGGTTTCTACCTGACTCTGAAATGTACCCCATTTCCAGTCACCTCTCAGTACTCTCCTGCTCCATTCAGCCCCCCCCCCAGTTCCCATCCCCACCTGCTCCCAATCCACCCACAAGGTCTCCTCTATTCCCCTTCCCAGGGAAACCCATGCATTTCCCCTTGGGCCCTCCTTGTTACCTAGCCTCTCTGGGTCTGAGGATTACAACCTGGTTATAATTTACTTTACAGTTAATATCCACTTATGAGTAAGTACATGCCATGCTTGTCTTTCTGGGTCTAGGTTACCTCACACAGGATGATTTGTTTCTGGTTCCATCCATTTACCTTCAACTCTCACTGGCTCTTCCCCTAGAAGAAGGACTGTTATCTTTAAGAAAAGCATCACAGGGCAATTACAGTCATTATGAGCTCTGAGTTAGATATTAAGGGAGAAGGAAGGATGTAGGGGAACAGGTATGTTTACATTCACAAGAGGGCTTATAGGTGCTGAATGTTGAATAGGGCAATGTGCGTATCTAATTCAATCTTTACAACAGCGGTTTGGCAGGTAGAGAAACTGAGACTCAGGAACTTGTGTGTGTGTGTGTGTGTGTGTGTGTGTGTGTGTGTGTGTGTGTGTGTGTGTGTGCCCTGCATGAGTTACTAGTGGCATATGAAAGATTTGTATACCCTGATGTCCTTTCTGCCCTGTTAGCTTGGTGCTAACAGTATGATGTAATGGTAGACAATCTGTAAATCGATTAATTGGGGATGGCACTTTAAATAAGTTTGAAAATGGGAAACCTGTTTAATGCTTATTCTGAGCATTTCACAAACTAAAACAAATATATAACAAGTTATCTGATGAATTAATAAAAAGAACACCAAACCAGCACATTTTGCTGTCTCCATAAACTTGGAATTCTTTTTTTTTTCTGCTCTTTGTGATAATTTCAATACAAATGAGTATTAAATCAGAATGCCTCCTTCTTCTTGTGTTTCTTTTTAACTTTATCATTGTGTGTCTTTCTAATTAAAGCATTTTGATTGCAAACAAAGCTGTTGGTGGGAGTTCCTAGAAAACAAAGCTGAGGGATGCTGATCGATGAGCAAAGGAAAAGGTCTGAGATAGGGATAAAAAGGGAAGCTTCAGTATCCGTGTTTATTTCTTTGTTTAGGCTTTTCTTTCTAGGAACTGTGCATTTGGGTATTATTTGTTTAATAAGAAATTCAATTTTAAGAATATATGGAAAAGAGGATCCTGAGGGCAGTTGCCTTATAACATTCATTGTCTGAGAGAATGCCCTGGCTGTCATAATGTTCAAAATGAAGATCCCATTTCCTCAGTTGTTTGGTGTGCAAAACTAGGTCTGAATTCTTCACTGAAAAAGGAGTCCCCATACTCGAGTTACATCAGTCTGATTCCTCATTGCCCCATGGATACATTTCTAACTTTAGATTCTAAAACTAATGCTTACTGCAACATGTAGTCATTAGAGATGAGTAGTGACATCCTTAATTCTCTGCTATAGTTAGAGTATTATAGAGTGTGGAAGTGTAGACCTGGTCCTGCTTCCCTTCAGTCCCAAATAAACACACAGAGGCTTATATTAATTATAAACTGTTCGGCAAGTGGCTCAGGCTTCTTATTGGCTAGCTCTCACTTAATTATTAACCCATTTCTATTAATCTAAGTATTTCCCCATGATCTTGGCTGACCGAAGACTGCCTGGTGTCCTATCTTCCTGGTAGCTATATGGCGTCTCCCTCCTGTTTGTCGGTACAGACTTCCAGATCTCTATGGTTAGCTAGTTTCAAGCTTCATTCTCTGGCCTTCAGACAGACTTTACTTGTATAAGCAAGATATCATCACCACATGAAAGTAAATCACAAACATGTTGCTTCATCTGTGAATTTAGCAGTGTAACACCGAGTAAAAAGCCAAGCCCTGAAAGATGATATACAGCACAGCATCTTTTTCATAAGCCTGTTGCTCAAGGACCCTTAAATTTATAAGGTCAAGCTGAAATAAGCAGGAGATTGAGACACAATTCAGTATCAGTTGCTTCGAGGCAGTATACATGTCATGTGTCATGTTCAAGTTCTTGGATAAGAGGTGGCTTCTCAGATGTTTGCTTTTGTTGTTGCTGTTTCAAGACAGGGTTTCTCTGTGTGGCTGTCCTGGAACTCACTCTGGAGACCAGGCTGGCCTTGAACTCAACAGAGATCCACCTGCCTCTGCCTCCCAAGTGTGGGGATTAAAAGCATGTGCTACCACGTCTGGCTGATGCTCACTTACTTACATGAATTGCTTTAATAGCTCTTCTTTAACTCACTCTGCTGCAAAATATACCAATGACACTGAATGGAGCAAATTCAAAGCTGACACAACTGAACACTTTTGGAAACACCCCAGCCTAAATATTCCTCTTCAAAACACTATTCATGTTTATTCTTTCTGCACTGAGCTTCATAAAAATAAATGGCTACAGATTAGTAAAATAAATCTTTTTAAGCATTCAAACAGCATGAACTCTTTGTAAATGCCAAGCCAGCAAATGGAAGTAGCCCTAGTTTGGTTTTTTGTTGTTGTTGTTGTTGTTTATTTGTTTGTTTGTTTGGTTGGTTGATTGTTTTGTTTATTTGTTGTTTTTTTGTTTCGGTTGTTCAAGACAGGGTTTCGCTGTATTGCTTTGGAGCCTGTCCCGGAACTTGCTCTGTAGACCAGGCTGGCTTTGAACTCATAGAGATCTGCCTGCCTCTGCCTCCCAGATGCTGGAATTACAGTTATGCACACCAACTCCCAGCACAGTAGCCCTAATTTTTAAGTGACTATATATTTTGCTGGACATGCTATAGTTTATTATTTTGTCCCCCCTCCCATTCATGGGTACTGTAGTGATTTCAATTTCTGGGTTAAGTGTATATCTTCGAGACTGTAGAGAAACCTGACTCATTCTGATTCTATGAGCCATTGATTATTAACTCTTTCCTTATGTATGTTCTGTTGATATATACCATCTATAAAAGTTCAATGGGATGACTAGAGATACATTTTCATATTAAAAGTATTCAAGTCTTCTTAGAGTAAAATTTTCTCTGTCGCTAAA